ACATACCGGTACTGTCACTTCATTGTATGTGGAAGAGGAGCCAGAGCGCTGCCTGGTGCTGGCCATACAACTCAATTGAACATACGTACGTATAGATACACCACGTACGTAGATACACCACATACGTATAGATACACCATATACCTGGCATTATTAGAAAACCCTCCTTCGTGGTACATATAATGTTTCCACAAACCAAAGTGTACTGGATAGTTACGATAATTATATGAGCTAGATTATGTAATGTAACTGGGAATATTTCAGCATGTGTGTGTGCAGGTGTAAAAGGAGAAGGGCAGAAGAAAGTCCCTCTCATGCCACCTCTAGCGGCTCTGAAGAAGGCAACACAAGAGATGGACTCACAATCAAAGATGCCAGTCAGACAACAGCTGGTGACGCTGAAGGCACAGCAATCACCAGTGAAAGGAACTACCTCTCCTCCCTCCAAACCTGGTGAGGCAAAAGGCAGCTTTATTTCTCAGAATTTCCTCACTTGTTTCTATATATTATAGTGCCATTTCAAAAGTATGAAATTCTAATTAGCATACAGCCTACAAGGGACTCAACAGTGTAAACCACATAATAGAGTTTTCAACCTTGTTTTCAGTTAGGTGGTAAAGGTTGTTGACTATGTTATGGGGAACAGGATATGTTGACGAAGGGGTGTAATGGGTGAGCAACCATAGATAAATGAATTGTGCACAAACAGCGTATATTGCATTTCTACATTTTCTGTGTACAACATTGTGGAGATGCACTAGTTCAAGTTACAAAGTATGGTCATGAGCTATATAAGGGTCATGATGCGTGCATTCATTCACTTCCAGTATGCTAATAATTATTATGCGCTGTCTTGCAGGTACTATGATAGTAGCGGGGTGTTCTGTGGCTTGCATTCTGTTTATGACATGGTTGCACAAAATGCTAAGCCAAGATTTATCTCTGGATTTATCATTTAAGCAATAGATCTTGTAACCATTGTTCCACTATAGCTCCTCCCCCTCCACCACCTCATGGGGAGAAGACAGAGGGAACTGGGGACCGAGACAGTGGTATGTGGAGTGCCTCTACCTATGACACTGTCACTGAATGGACAAAGCACCATGACAACCCATCAGCAGGTATATACACACACTTTTATCACCGCTCAGTGTGAACTGGCTGTGCTACACTTTACTCTTAGGTGCTATTTGTGATGATGTCGGTGGTGTTTGCTCAGTACCAGCATCTCGTTAACGATGTCACTGATGGTAAGCAGAGTTGCAAACTGAATGAATTTCTTATGATTATTAATAAATGTTTTTTTCAGATCACCAGTATACAACTCCTAAGAGAAACAAAGAAAATATTTGACTGTAGCGTTTTAGGTGCGTTGATCGCATGGTTTTCCCATGGGTAGCTATATTATATTTGTTTTTAAGCGCATGCGCACTCTTCTGGCGCAGCTAGCGCGCTTCTGCGACGCCGACTGTATAAACTGCATTGCTTATCGCATTCCTAAGTTCACTCCCTCGCGCACAAAACTAAAGCCGCACTTGCGCTCGACACGGTTTCCCAAACGCCAAACTTCCCCACGGAAATGTCGGACTCAACGCATGAGTACAGAGCCTTTATAGTCTCTGTTTCGAAGCTGCTGAAGGCGGAAGAAGTCTTCGAACTGGCGACCATCTGGCTGGGAGGCAAAACCGACGTCAGCGACTACGAGCCTGCCGAAGAAAAAAAGTCGCTTGGATTGAAGCTTTTTATTGCGATGGACTGCTCAGGAATCCTTTCTTGGACCGATCTCGGAGGTCTCCTGAAGATCTTGAAAAGCGTCAATCGGTATGATTTGGTCGATATGGTGGACTCGTTCATCAATGACAAAGGGAAAAGTTGCTCCAAGAGGTACACCAAAAAGAAAAGGGCGAAGAGTAACCAAGAAGAGGAGGAGCGCAAACAGTTGCAGCTCATTTACGAGAATCTAGTCATGCGTAGCTTGGACATGGAGCGACACATTATTGGGCTGCGGACGATCCTGCGGAAGGAGGACCCCGTGCTGGATGATGGAGTCCGCGTCGTTCAGGGGGCTGAGTCTGTTGCGCAAAGCCTCGCCGCTGAGCTAGAGAGAGATCTGAACATGTTGGTTCGCCGCTCACGTGCCGACAGTTCTACTAGCTCCAGTAGCGACGAGAGCAACGGCAGCAGTCGACGGAATAGCCGTATCCTCGTGCCCGTGTCTGAATCCATCTACGGGAATTTGCGTAAGTTGTTGTTTCTATGATCCCACCATCGTGCACCACTTCGCACGTGTGTTGCTAAGAGTAAGCATGAGACTAAGCGCCTTCTTTTCTGTTTTGGTCTCTTATCATGAGCTGTTAGTTTAGCTACATGGTGTTGACTTCTTTTTTTAGAACCAGACATCGGACAAGTTGTGACCAATACCGCTCAAGCTCAACCCACACCACTCAACTACCTAGTGTACAAAATCGAGACAGACCAATCCCGAAACCTGGCTCTCTCAAAACTCAACCTTGTCACCCAATCTCAGTACAAGAAACACAATCTGCGTCAGAACTTACACCAGGCACTGCGTCATCCGTCCCAAAGAGTGAGTCCCCTAGCTAAACGTATCGTACACAACTCCAATCCCAAGCAAGTCATGAATAATTATCTCATATATCACGCCATAATCATATTTGCCTACTATGAATATCCTATAATGACTGAGGTTTTTACAATACGTTAGTGGAACTAACTCTATAGTAAAGTACTATACAACATATGCAATGTTAAAGTAACAATGAAAGTTCATACTTCCGCTGCTTAGATCTTGCACTATCAAGGAGCAAATATGTGCCCTCAACACTGACAATTGGGATCAAACCTCAAACAGAGGCAGCCATGGAAGAGGATGATTGTACTGGAGACAGTGGAGTGGGTACTGGGTCTGGTAGTGCCAAATATGGTGATGTTGAAGATTGGAAACGTGGAATTACGAACCTCCACCCGTGCCTGGTAAAGATAATAATAAATACACTCCAGATCACAATGTCAACAGCTAAATGTGATTTGTTTACAGAAAAACCAGCATCAAAAAGTCGTGGAAGGGCTACTACAGATGTTGAAGGTTTGCTAGAATAACATTGGTGTTTTGGTGCTGTATTGTCAGCAGACATTTCTGCAGATGCTACAGAAAAGGAGAATTTGTATACAGGACTGAGAGAAGGAACGAAAGAGAGAGGTATGGCCTTCATGGCATGGCTACAGCTCTGTCTTTCATTGACATCCACAACTTTTTTTGCAGCTCATTCTTATCAAGGACTGAAGCGTGGCTTTCCGTTCTCCTAATCTGTTTTTGTTTCTCTGTGTTTTTGTCTGTTAATCAATAATTCATTTTGTATGTGCATATTGTTGTTTTTTTTGTTTTCGATTATAGTCACACCAGGATTTAGCGCCCCAAACTGTAGCTCGTCAGCACCAGAACATACACTTGCGCATGCGCTATATGCGCGCGCGTGAGTTTTCGCGAAAGCGTGGGTCAGGTATACTGCAGAGCTGAGGGAGAAACCCAGGGAAAACCTTCCACTTACACTTGCACCGCTGCGTGAGCGTCACTCCTGCTGCGGTCTCGCATGCGCACTCTCTTATCGCGCACCCTCATCAGGCTACGTGCTATAATGCTTCAATGCAGTTGCTCCCACTCATTTTTTAACAGTGCTGCCAGGGACCAAAGATGTCCGACATTTGTGATTTCCTCGCTACGGTAGAGTTCAGAGATTTCATTGCTTCTTTTGCGAAGGAGTTGGCGGCAGAAGAAGTGTACCAAGTGGCGTACGTATGGTTGCAGAAACGGGGAGATGTCGACCTATTTTCGCCGTCATGCAAGCCAAAGGCCTGCGGACTTGAGCTGTTTGCAAAGTTAGAATGCTCGGGAGTATTTTCCAGAAAAGATCCTAGCGGACTGCGGGACATAGCAAAGAGGATCAACCGGTCCGATTTAGTAGAAAAAGTGGATGCTTTTACGAAGGATGCATCGAAAATGAAGCGAAGAACCAGTGAAAAGAAGTGTCTGCAGAAGAAAAGCAGCGAAGAGCGGCAGGAATTAGAGAGAACTTTTGAGTCGATAGTGGTGCAAATGCTGTTTTAGAGCAGCATATCAGTCTCCTGCAAAGAACACTTTGCCAACAGAAAACCGACTCTGAACTAATGGACGAAGGACTGGAAATAATCGAACATTCAAGTGAGATTGCGCAGAACCTGGCCTTAAAATTGAGCCAGGTTCAGAAAAGACTTGCAAACAGGTCTCGAACCAACAGTTCAGCAAGTGGAAGCAGTGACGGTCAGTAACGGCAGACCCAGCAGTGGTGGGGAGGTTTCACAAGTTGAGTCAGCTCCGTGTAAGCCTGTGTAATTATTTTGCCGTGCATGCAAGTATAGGAACTGAGAAACCGATAAATATACTATGCCCACGAGACGGTTTAGTGGATATACACTACGAGTGCGCAGCACGAGTAGTGTATGCACTAAACCGTGTATATAGTGTAGCCGGTTTGTACCACAGGAATTCGCACTAAGACAACTTATTAGTTGCATACCATGGTGTATGGTGTGCATGTGAGTGTATGGCCGAGTCAGCATACCATACACCATGGCATGCAACTAATGAGTTGTCTTCGTGCGCATACACTGCGTGCTGTGCCTTTGATTTATAGGGCCTCTGTGGTACAATCATAGTGTGAGATCACATGTCATTAGTGTTATATGCTCCCTAGCCCCTACAGATGTTGTTGCTGCACCACCGAAGATGTCCCTATGTTCACATCCACTGCCACCACGTGAGTTCAGACTCTACATGCTCTGCAGTCTATAAAATAGCTACCATCAAGTTAAGAATACCACCTTGAAATTATTCATTCTTCACGTGGAAGGCATGCTTTGAGAACTTGCTTTCCTCTTCAAAGGTTTCCAGCTATACTGTATGCTAATATACAGTAGAACCTCATTGATACAAATTCCATAGGATGATGAATGATTATCAGGTGGTTTGTATAAAGTATTCACTCTGTGTAATATATCACAGCTCAAGTGCTACCCAGAAGGAATAGGGAGAACACTGCTGTTACCTCTGTCCCAAGTTCGCGTTCTCCCATCCCTAAACTCTCGGTTCCAGAGGTAAGATTGGAAGAAGATGAAGGGACAGGAGATAGTGGTATGGAGTCAGGTTCTGGCAGTGCGTACTCTACCCCTCACCTGTGGAGGCATCCCATTCAAAACAACACTCCGAGGTAAGCTTCATTTTGGATGTGTGATGACTTACTAACGACTATTATGCTATTACTATGTACAGAGAAGAAGAAGGCAACCCGCATATACATGTCACTTAAAGATGAAACACGAGATGAAGGTCAGCACTTTCAGTCGCACAGATATGCATTTTATTATGGCTGCCTGTTTATTGTAGATCTTCCCTATGAACCGTATGATTATAAACGGGATATTCTATTAAACGGTATGATATTAAGTGGGACACACTGTATCTCATATCACACCATAATCTTATTTGCCTGCTATGAATATCCTATGATGACTCAGGTTTTTACAATACGTTAGTGGAACTAACTGTATAGTAAAGTACTATACAACATATATAACGTTAAAGTAACAATGAAAGTTCATACTTTTTCCGTCTACTTAGGTCCTGCACTATCAAGGAGCAAATATGTGCCCTCAACACTGACAATTGGGACCAAACCTCAAACAGAGGCAGCCACAGAAGAGGATGATTGTACTGGGGACAGTGGAATGGGTACTGGGTCTGATAGTGCCGTTGAAGATTCAAAAAGTCATCGAAAGGCTGCTACAGATGTTGAAGGTATGCTAGAATGGCATTGGTATTTTGGTGCTGTATTGTCAGCAGACATTTCTGCAGATGCTACAGAAAAGGAGAATTTCTATACAGCACTGAGAGAAGGAACGAAAGAGAGAGGTATGGCCTTCATGGCATGGCTATATACAGCTCTGTCTTTCATTGACATCCACAACTCTTTTTTTGCAGCTCATTCCTATCAAGTACTGAAGCGTGGCTCAGCACTGAGAGAAGGAACGAAAGAGAGAGGTATGGCCTTCATGGCATGGCTACAGCTTTATCTCATATCACGACATAATCATATTTGCCTGCTATGAATATCCTATGATGACTTTTACAATATGTTAGGGGAACTAACTGTTATATTATAGTAAAGTGCAAAACCCTCGGCGAGACTGCGCATGCGCGATAGTCTACTGGGCATATTTGCGTTTACTCGTGGTTTCCCGCTGGTAGAGTCTGGCTATCCAGTATGATAGTAGATAGCACGCGAGAGTCGATACACGCCCTCCGTTGTGACCTTCTTGTGTCTCCAGGTACACAGAGCGAGCAGACCGGTTCGAGGTAAGCCTGTGCAAATTTGCATATTGGCTTGTTCACTTGCTTTTCACGCCATAACTCTGAACGCAGTAGTTATACGAAATCGTCTTTTAAAAATGAAGCCAGTGTAGCGATGAACCAGTTGGTATCGCTGTTTTCGTTGTCTCGTTGCGCGTAGTCGCAGAACAGACGAACGTCGAACGGATCACACACACTCACGAGATGACGCTATGCGCGCCGAGGTTAAGAGTGTGATCCCAAATGAAAACTGGGTACCAAAATAGTGCCAGATGAGAACTGGGTACCCAAATAATGAAAAGCACTTGAAAGTACATAACCCTCGCCACTGTGATTATGGAGCTTCTTATTAGAGCCTACACGCAGCCAATGGCTACTAGCTACACTACCTCAGTGACTCCTTCACTGGAACGGATTCCACTGGTGGCGTGTGCTGCTCTCACTTCACCGCAATCTCTGCTCCTACCATCATTACAGGCAAACAACAAAAGTCTTCACACACCGCGCAAAGCATCTAGCATCTAAGTACAGCGATCGTCGGGATCTCTATTTGACGCACACTCACCTCGGCAGCCGTCCGCTTTCACCAGCTTCCCCGGCCATCTCCACTCCATAATCTTATTTTACCATGCATGCCTCCCACTTGATAATCATGTCCACGTTTCACGCTCAGAGTTGCCGCGGGTTATGAAAAACGGTGACAGACGACGGACACAGATGCACACACACACACACACACATACAGTACAGACAGACCAACCGCAATACCCTCGCTGCGTATGCGCGCAGGCGAGGGTTAATAAGTGTGTGTATTATATATATACCAGAATGAGAAGTGGGTACCAAATAAATGAAAAGCACTAAAGTGCAAACCCTCGGCGAACTGTGCGCATCCGCTGATACACTACTTGATGGGGGCTGGCTTTCGTTTCTTTACTCGTTGTATCGCGCTAGTCGCTCGCGGAGAGTCTGGCACGGGCTAGCTACAGTAGTAGATTTTGCATGCGGGAGTCGAATCATGCTCGTTGTGACGGTTCTTGTGACCTTCAGATACACAGAGCGCGCGGACGCAGTCGAGGTTAGCCTGTGCTAATTACCATATTGGCTTGTTCACTTGGTTTTCACGCCATAACTTTAGAACGCAGTAGTAGTTTTACAAAATCGCCTTTTAAAATCAACCCAGTGTAGCACTGAACCCGATCATATCGCTATTTACCTGATTCGTGGCGCGCGGTGAGCAGAAAACGTGGTAACAGGACAGACAGACTGACACACTTACGGGACAACTACCGTAACCTCGCTGCGCATGCGCGCGAGGTTAATAAGTGTGTGTATACAAGATTAGACTGGGTACCCAAATAAAAGTTAATCACACTAGCCTCAATGGATATAAGCACAAAGATACTCAGATACTAATATCAATGTACACAAAAGCATCCTCGAGAGTTGCAAGTCAAAAACAAATTTTCCTCTTCGTTCCCCTGTTCTAAAGGAGTGAGACAAGGATGTAACCTAAGTCCACTCCTATTCATTAGTGACATAGAATCGCATCTGTCACCAAACAGGGCTGGCAGAATAACACTTACCAACCTCAAAGTGCAGCTATAAATTATTGCTTTTCGCAGATGACTTGGTGCTATTGGCAGATTCACGTCAAGGTCTACAAGACACCTTAGACAGACTGAGTGAGTATTGCCAGGCTTGGAAATGAAAATAAACTGAAAAACAAAGGTTGTGGTGTTCTACAAGAATCGATCTTATTGCCATGCCCCTTCCTAATCAATAACATGGAAATGGAATATGGAACTACCTACAAGTACCTTGGCATTGTTCTCGCTAGCAACGGCTCTTTTAAACCAGCTACATTACTGTGGCTAATCAGGCGACTAAGGCGCTCTTTTCTCTTTTCGAGTCACAGCTAAACTCTCTTTCCCTGATCCGTCCCTGACCTGCTTTCTCTTTGACATATATACTAGTGAAACCAATTTTAGAGTATGGGAATGAAGTACGGGGTTGTTTCCCAGCAGACGAGCTGGAATCTGTCCATAGAAAATTTTGCAAATTTGTCCTCGGGGTTCCTAGATCAGCTGCCAATATTGCTTGCTATGGGGATCTAGGGCGAACCCCATTACTGATCAAGAGGAAGGTC